ATCTACTTCAACAGCCAGTTTGTTATTAAGTTTTACTACTCATTTAAAAATACAATAATATTAGTTTTTATTTGTTCTACGCTCAAGCAAAAATCTACATTAGAGTATACAGAGTTAAAGTCAATACATACTAAGAGGATCTCCCATTATAATTGTTAAAGTTTAACTTTGGATCCATTAAAATACCAAGATTCACGAATAATTCTACTGTTGATAAAGCCGAACCGTTCTTGTTATGAGTTCTTAGAAAAAATAGTTAAAGTGAAGTTAACATCATCTAAGAACTCATAAATACATAAATAATGTAATTTGTTTCATGAAATTGCTTTAGTGTGGGCTGGGCCGCCATAGTTAATATACACCTTTCTGTCTGTATTCTTAAAACGAAATCCTTTTTGTCATGTTGTGTAGATCTTGATCGTATCTGATTGTAGATTCAGATGTCTATGCTCAGTATAGTGGCATCGGCCGGTAACATTAACGACTTCTTTTTGGAAACGGTTTCGGAAAAAATGACAACATATTGTGAACAGTGGCTTAATTAAACAATTCCACGATTTTCCCTTCACTTAATATTTTATATCCGTTGTGCTCACCTCAAACGCATTCTCATTTGACATAAAAGTATTTTTGCGAAATCAAAACTAGTGCAAACCTTGATTTCCATACCAATATTTACGTCAATAAAATTGTCGGAATATCTAAATGAATGTCTCACTCGGCATACTATACCCTCCGACAAATAGACGGAACGCTATTCGTTTTGGTAGAACTTGTCATTTTCCATCCATATATGTATATTTGTCTTCCTGCCTTTGTTATACAACTGTGAAATCTACAAGTAACAACGCTGAACAATAATATTTGACATTATCTATAGAATGTGTGGATTATATTGTGTGTTGTGTGGATTTCGTTTTTTTGCCAACCCATTCTATCTGCGTTGTTCAGTACACAAACGTATCGTATAAATTACAGATTAAAACCAACCCATGAACTAGTATTGTAAAGAGTGAATTGGAAAAGAAAAAGTATTTATACTAATAAATCCGGTAAAATATTGTGTGGAAAAAAGTTGTATCTTATGAATACACCGAATACACACATATAATTGTGTATTTAAGTGGGTGTGTGTGTATGTGTGTGAATATTTGTTATTATAAAGTATCGATGTTAAACAAAAGAATAACAACAAACTAAATGTTTACGCCATCTTGCCAACCAGCTGGAAATTTCATGTTCAACATCACGAGTGTATTATTGCCTGTCCACCATAGTATAGTTATATCTAGCCGATACATTATTTTCTACCTAATACTCGTAACTTATGTAAATAAACCAGACACCTTTGTGAAAAGGCTGGAAAATCGAGTTCATTTGTGTACCTAAGTTAAACGGAATTCATTAAAGAACACATCCCAAAAATGTGAGTTCAAATGACCATCTTCGGTTCAATTTGTATTTGTATAAAATATTCATCGTTTCGCCTTAACAGCGCGTCTTTCCATAATAGTTGCATTAATTTGTTATAGTGACTTTTTATTTTTATCAAACATTCAGTGTTTTTTCTCGTTGATGCATTATTCGCGCATACTCACTGTCGACAGTGTTTTTATACACCATTCATCTTCAAGTCTGTGTGTGTTTTGCCCAAGTCGAGACAATTTTTGAACCGTGCAATTTTGTGTTTGATGTGTCATTGTGCCGAGTGACCAGAATATAATCAAATGTTTATATAAAAAACCAATACGCTAAAAACATACTCGTATTTATGCGACAACATATATTAATGTTTTCTTTGATTTGATGTTTTCTGCAACCCTTATCTCGTGCTTCGTGCGGGCAATATACATATTTCCTGTGTTTGAAGTTGTGGTTTCTAACTAAATAAGTGAAGAAGAACAGAGAAAAGTCAAAACACGGGGATTGCATAACGACAAGCGATACAACAATATACAATAATAATTACCTTAAAACGAGATTTATACGATCTGAGTTTCATCGGCTGTTAATGGTTCGGGCAGTGTTACGACATTAGTCATGATGGATTCTTGTCGTCTGGCCCAAGTCGCAAATCCGCCACATGCCGTCAATGAATATTTTTTAGAGGCAGAGAGTAATGCAAACCGAGCCGCTGATTCTGATGACAACGATTGGCAATTGTTTGTTGAAGAAACGAATCAGTTAGAATACGATGAAGAAGAGTTATTTATATCATCATTTCCAAATACGCCAACGCTGAATCAAAGTCCCAATGACCATGACAGTCTGCTCGACGTAACTATAGATTCTTCCATTGAAAATATTTTACCAGATGAGCAATTATTGATCGAAGGTTTGCAATACGTTTTCTATAATTTCTATTTTGTAAAGAATTTCCTTATGGGTAAATAGTGATTTCTGTAACTACTGAAAATATACGCACTTCCTCGCCTTATGTTTATTTGACTGTAAATCCGTATGTTGTAAAACAGATAGCGCCTGAACGTACTAAGATAGGCGTATCGTATGCCTATATGTACCATGGGAATGACATTTGATCAATGTTTTAGACTAGTATCCGAAATATAATAAAAACAATATCACTTAAACTGTTTTTTAGTTGAAAACAACCAAACAAAACTGTAAAGAAAACCGGATATATGGAAAATTAGAAACCTGTCTCTTTTGTCTTTCAATATTATTGGAAATAAATTTTAGTTTCTAATTTTACAGAAATTTTTTAATATTTATCCAGATATATGGAATAATCGCTCATGGCCAAGTAATAATTTTATGTTATTTTAGTTTTTTTGTCCGTTCGTTGCTCATATCTGATGTAAATATGTTATGTCCATCTCTAAATATTTAGAATTTTTAAAGCTAAAATTTTTCGTTTTTTTTTTTATTCAAAATTCGGATTCGGGTTTTTGGGGCCGAGAAATTCATTTCTTATTTTTCTTTTTTACCTATGACCACCGCCAGAGGGCTTTTCATACATACTTTAACTATTTTTCGTTTATTTTCTATTTTCGTCTGTATATACAAACAAGATTTTTATAAAATTGTAGTAACGGAACAGTAGGTCTGTATGGAATATACAAATCTTCTATTTTTGGAGAAGTCCATTCATGTAAGAAGTGCAGTTCAAGGCATTCGGTGGTTCTATTAAATGTTTTAAGAATGAACTACTCGAATATGTCAATTTGAATGGATTTTGATGCATATTATTTCTTTTTACTGGCTAATTGTTAACATATGTCAGTTTATATTGTCGTAATATAATCCATATTATCCATGATATTATGGTACAAATGTTTCAATAAATAAATATCATTTAACTTCCCCACATTCCTTAGATCTTGTAGAATTAATAACAAAATTTCAATTGTGGTATAAACAGTTTAAGTTTTAAGGAATGAAACGCGGGGCCGCAAAGATTGTTTCGAGGATTGGAAAAAACACGGCAAATAGAAATAAAGCAATGTTTATATAGTGGTTGAAAAATAGCCAGGCGTAATCCCAATTTGTTGTTTAATAAAAAACAAACTATTAGTGAGGAAAGTATGGCATTGTCAGCTAGGGCGTAAGGCAGGGAGGACTATAGTTTGGATCTCCCAACTCATTAATTAACTTAGCTTTTTGTTGGGGATATTCTTCCCACAAGCTATTCATAGCTTCTTAAAACACATTTTATACTCAAATATCTCTTGTAACAAATGGAAGTACTTAAATAGCCATGAGAATTAACAAGGGTTTTGAAAACAACAATTGTTTTCAATTTATCTCGAATGATAAAGTTGCAATGAATAAACAATCATTTGCAATCTCTCGCGAATGTTCGCATTTACGATTCATTTGAAAAACTCAAAAAACAAATGTTTGCGAAAGGTCGCGTGCGCTGTCAAAAAAATAAAAGATCATAAATAAAGTAAACACACACCGCGTTTCGTGTGTTCGTTTTCATTTGTGAGCGAATATCAGAAAAAATTTCAATCACCAAACGAAACGAACGATGGTTCTGTGCTCTCACTCGTTTGTTATGTGTGTGCGAACATTCGTTTGGTAAAGAATTTATCACGATAAATTCATTCGTAAATCGAGCCTAAACGAAAAGAGCCTATTTCGTATCATTTGCGAGCGAAATTTTGTTCATCCGGATAAAATACAAGAATATCAACAAGGAGAGGATTAAAGCCGAAATATATACAAATAAACCACTTTGGATGTATTCAAATACTTTTTTTCAATTTATTTATTCAGTAATATGGAAGCCTTAGAGGCCAGTAATATATTACACAGTACTAAATTAATATCTGAGAACACGTAAATTAAAATAATATATTTTATACAAGAAATAGAAAAAAATCACTCAAAATTCGTTCTGGATCCCGATCCTAAAAAGAAAACAAAATAGACTCAAATTAGATAATAGAATTGATAATAGATAGGTTATATCGCATAACAAATGCTATTTTTAGACAAATTAACATCTGAACATTCTACCAAGAATTTCAACACCTTGGGCCAAAAGAGTGAGATATGCAAGATTCATTGTTATAAGTACAAAATTAATAAAGAGTCACGCAGTTACAAATCACGATAGCAAGTCTTATTGAAGAAAATTACATTTTAAGGACAATAGTTTTAAAGGAAAATCTAGAAAAAATGATATTTAATGTAAGCATCTAAGGAGAATAAATAAAATACCAATGTATCCATAGTCTTTTTTAACTCATTTTTGATTGATTTTAAAAATAAAGCGGTAAAATAGTTTGATTTAATTATATTTTCGACATGTCAATCTGTAACAAAAAAAAAGAATTGCTGAAAGTTGATATTTAATAAAAAACTTTAATAATAACTTCATAATTTGCCCCCTCGTACAATAGTACTACTCCAAAAGTTTCAATTTATAATTAAAAATACTGTATAGTTTAGCTGTTTAATAAAAATCTGTTATCCAACTAAACAGCTAAAATAAACGAAAATTTTTAATATAATTTTTTATTTTATTTCAGTTTTATGTGGTAATCGAGTAAGTCAAATGACACGAGCATACGATGATATTGAGGCCGTCACACGCCTTCTCGAGGAAAAGGAGAAGGATTTGGAGTTGACGGTGCAAATAGGCAAAGAATTGTTAACACAGAATAATGCATTAGAAACTAGGATAGCCGATTTAGAAGCTGAACTAAAATCCGCTAACGAGGACCGCTCCCAATTACTACACGAATTACACAAGAAAAATGAACTAATTTCGGTATTAACAAATGACTGTGAGGATTCTAGCGATAATGGTAAGCCATATATATATATATATATATTTTTTTTTTTTTTTTTTGAGTGTTTAACTTCTTGCTTACATTTTAGATACTCCAACTTTCTCCAAGTCCATCACGTTGGATTTATTACAAAAGAAAATTGCATCGCTACAGGATGAGAACAAATCTCTAAAGATTGAAGCGTCTCAGTTGGCCTGTCAGACAGATGAAGTTGAGGAACAGGAACGGAAGCTTATGAATGATATTGCATCGCAATTAAACGATGCCAATCAGCAATTTGAAGGACTTAATTTAGAACTGGAAAGACAACGAGAGGAAAACCGCCTGCAGCATGAACAAATAGTGAGTTTAACATCACGCTTAGCAGAAGCTGAAATGAAACTTCATCAGCTGACTCATGACAATGATGAGCATATTACCCTTCTGAGCATTACAAAGGAGAACCAAAATAGTCTGGCATTGGAATTGGTCGAATTCAAGCAGAGGTATCAAGAGGTATTAGCTCTTTTGCAAGAGGCACAAGAACAGTTACGAAAACAACGAAAGAAAACTATGCCTCAGGCTCGTAGCTCATTTATGTCAACAATTCTGCAGCCAGATTCCTTACAGTCTGAGTTGATGGAATCGTCTCTGTACTCAGAAAATAGTATTGATTCTGGAATATCGGGTGATAATCAACGCATTAATGATCGAATTGGTCGGTTGATATCAAATCTACCAAACACATCATGTGGTATCGGATACAATAGTACAATGAGCTCGGTATATGGGGGAGCAGGCTTGATGCAGCCATACAAAAGAGTATTTGATACTGTTCGTTGTGCAACCAAGTGCGGAAACTTTGCTGATATGGAAAGTCCTATCACACACCTTGGGGCGATGTCTATGAGTTCAGCATCGGGCCCACGCATGTCAACAATGGCTACTGGAAGTGCAGTAACGTCATCCAGTAGCACTTTCTGCGGTGATAATAGCGGTTTGGGTGACAAGACAATGTCCTGTGAAAGTCTGGCATCTCAGTCTGACGATGGTTATCCTTCGCAACCATCCGGGGTTCCTGGAGCACCGGGTGCTAAGGAACTTGAGGCTGCATTAAAGAGACTTACTCCAGCAGAAGTACTTGCCCGTAGAGCCATGCTTTCTTATGCACCAGCTGGTACCTATACATATGACGATGTACAAACAACAAATGCACTCCCAATGGGTCTGCGTACACCAGATAGCATTATGTCGACCGGATCATCTGGTATATCTTCATCAACGAATATGTCATCCTCTGTACATCAATGGCGGTTGCCAGAAAAGCTGCAAATTGTTAAGCCTATTGAAGGTTCTCAGACTTTGCATCATTGGTCACAGTTGGCTACTCCTACTCTAAGTGGTCTTTTGGAAGAAAGGCCAGGTGTAACAATACGCGGGGGACGAGGCCTTGATGATTTAGGAATGCAGGTATACACATTATCCGATGTCGAAGAAGACATCAATGATGAGCTACCTGGCAAACAATATGAAGCATCTGGATGTACCTATACATACACGACCAGTATGGTAATGCATCCCGACGATGGTATTTCGACGGATCTTTCCTTTTTGTCCCAGTCTCAAGTATCTTCAAGAACTGCCTCAGCATCAACGTCGCGACAACCAAGGTTTGATATACTTATAATTTGATATACTCAAAATCATAACTTGATTATAATTTCTTTTAATTTTTAGTTGTCCTCCCACACCACGAGCTGGTCTTTCGCGCAAAAATTCCTGTTCGACATTTTCCGTAAATTTAGGCTTAGCATCAATGTTGAATGAACGAGGAATCAAAGCTGTAACGCCAAGCGCCTTAAATACGCCCGCAGGTCCAAACTTTTCACCAACGGTTACACCCTGCAACAGTCCTGGTAATTATGTTCTCATTTTTAGTAATTAAATTAAATGGAGTATGAAATTGAGGGTTCTATGGGCTTAATAAAATTTTACATGGCAACAAATTATTGCATACCTCTACTTTCCAAAAACGAGTTCTTGGAACTAATTGTCAATATTCGAAAATATATCTTACAAATAATAGTTGTTGTTCCATTGGTATTTTAATACATTAATGTTTAAATATTTTAGTAGTGAATAACAAATCCGTGATGAATTTCGTATTTTTCCTTTCTAGCTATTATGAGCAAATCCAAACAAAACAAAACAAAGGGAAGACTTGAAAAAAAATTTTTTTTTTGAAAAAATCGTATAGAATGAAGAATAAAGTTGAAAGAAAATTAGTTGCAATTCAGATCAAAGCTAGGATGAGGAAAATATATAACAAAACATGTTTTAAAATAATTCAGTATGCATTTATCGGTTTAAAATACAATCGCAAAATGAGCTCAAACGAGTATCAAATGAGTATTTTTTTATTATAAAATGCTTAGTGTACTAAGTAGAAAACTATTTTGAAGTGGGTACGTAATTAATACATCCCGTACAATCGGTTAATTATAATAAATGTTATTTTTAATTGATATTTCCTCACATACTACAAAAATAATCGGATCTTCTTCAATAAAGCCGTTCGAAATCGAATCGTCGTTACATTAGGTTAAATCCCACCTTTTGTGTTTTTCTTTCAAATACTTATTTTAGAAATCATTTGATCGGTTGATTATAACAAATGTTATTTTTAATTGATATTTCCTCACATACTACAAAAATAATCGGACCTTCTTCAATAAAGTCGTTCGAAATCGAATCGTCGTTACATTAGGTTAAATCCCACCTTTTGTGTTTTTCTTTCAAATACTTATTTTAGAAATCATTTATTGAAATTTAATCATTAATTTCTGGTGCATTCAGACCTTTATTTTCTATATTAATTTTTCGAATGTTAGGTGTACTGTACAAATCATTGCCAATTTTGATTACATACGATTTATAATTTTTTTTATTTGTAAATGGTGCTCAATTTACTAAATCGATGTTGCCTTTAAAAATCTTTTTGAAAGAAACAGCAGTAAAGGAAAAATAATACAGTATTTTTTATTTGCGTATCCACTTCAAAAATGATGTTTTTTTATAAAAACCGTTAGCTTTGGAAATATTTCATGCAATAATTTTATATCTTCACACAAAATCTCTTTAGTACTGCATATGTAAGGGGTTTTTAAATACTCCTGACGAATCGAATCCTGATTATAATATTTTTTCTACAGGAGATGTTTTAATTTGTAGTCCATGTAAATAAGTTTTTGGAATCGTTCATAGTCCTTTGGGCTGGGTTCTCGTTAATGCAATAATTTGAAATTGTATTATGTGACCACCACTGTATGTACCTCTAAATTCTTTTAAGTCCCCTCTTTCTGTTCATCGTATTTATATTTGGCGTCTTTTAATTCCAATATTGTTCAAGAGTAATATTGTAGAGTAATTTCCGGTAATGTGGACCACCAGATGAATTAACTATTATTACCTTCGTTGTATTCTTAGAGATAATTTATTTGACTTGTTTCAAATCGATTTAATTGCCTCTTGGAAGATAATTCAATTTAAAAAAGGTCTTTTGTTTTCTGAAATTTTTGTGAAACTGTGTTTCTTGACGTGTGTTTTGGTGATGTTCGATTTTTATATGGTACAGTTTATCTTCCAAGACAATATTATAATATATGGTGATTTAAATTGTTATTTTTTAGCCCTGTAGAAGGTCTTTTTTCCTAGCAAAAGTACGCATCATTTTTTAACTGATATTTACCGTTAGAACATACTTTTTAAAAAATATTTTTGCATAGCAACGTATTTACTGCACAACATCTAAATGCGATCTTGCAGGGGTAACACCTTTTTCATTTCCACAGGGGGACATACCACCTCGACTTACGGATACAATTCAATACAATTTTAATACAAACAGGGCAAGTGTCTCGGTGTCATTTGATTTATCTAAAGCTCTGTAGCAAGAATACTGCTACTGTGGCTAAATTTTTCCTTATTACCCTGTCTTTCCATTCCCCATTATGTCTTTTATTAAGACTTTTTCTAATACGTGGTGTTTTTGGACTGCACAAAAAACAAAGCGGTGACAAAGCTCTCAGCTGTTCTACACCCTTGTATAAAACCTTTTTGTGGAGTGTGGAGCACATATTTTGTGTTACATAAAAAGTTGTAGATCTGCGATATTTACAACATGCTTGCAATGCAGGCTTTACAACGATACCCGAATTTTGCTACTTAGAAACCATTTACAAAACTTATAATACTGTGAAACTTTTCCAAAAACTCAGAAAAATACGTTTCTATGCTAATTTATTTTCATTTTCATTTGTTTTCATTTCCAGAGGGTTCTCCAACACGATCTATGTCTCCAGAACCGCTATTTGGGCTGCTTTCATCTGGAGCTGAATTGATTCGACGCAAACTTGTGGGAGGGGATATTGAAAGACCTAACCGAAATCAACAACAAAAACAACAAAAAATTATGTTAACGAGGCTCGAAAGACGAGCGTTGAGGTCATTGCGCCTTGTGGAAAAAGTAGAAAGCATTGGTTTAGAAAATATTATAACTACACATCCCAATACAATGTCACAATTGGCTAGTGGAATCGCGAATAGAAGTGCAAGTCCAATGGCTCAATTAACGAGCCTCAAAAATATTCATACAAATTCAAATAGTATAGTAAGTGACTTACATTTCAACAGAGACCACATAAAAGATGTACTCCACAAAGGTCTTAATCCACAAAGCAATCTTCCATCATCATCAAATTTGCAAGAGACGGCTACAATTTCTAAACCGTTGAATTCTGAATACACTAATTACAGTCGCGAGCGAAAAACACAAGCAAAAGTTGAAGTGGATGCACAAAAACCGGATGTCGTAAGTTCGACTTCTGATATTGAGAGTTCCAACATTCGTGTTAAACAAATGCAGAGACAAAAGTCTAGACGTAATCTTAAAAATGGCCAAAGACCCGATTTGGGCACTATTGGTGGTCGAATGCGTACTGATTTGGGATATGTGTCACCAAAGCAACCAGATCCATCTAGCAGCGGCCTTCAAAACACTTCATCCAGTTCGAAAAAGAATCCCACTACAGAGAAGCCAGAAACCAAAGAAGCTCAGCAAAGTATTGCACAATCTTTTGTTGGAACCGTGAGTTCCTTGTTATTTGGTCGAAAGGGTGGTTGGCTATAAATGACTAAATCATAAAGAGTATATTGTGCAACATATTACTGGTATATACATAGCCAATTGACTATAATATAAGATATGTCGAAACATCAAACAAGCTTTATACTTTTGGGCAAAATAGTACTGGAAGATCCGTTAGGCTCTGAAACATTTAATAATAGCATTTTCAGATTCACGTTATGCATTAATTTGTATAAAATACATTCGTATACCTACAAAAGTATATAAAATGCATTAATTTGCACAACATTTTAAACTATTTAATGTGAATCGCTGTAAACTGCAGCCGTACATATTAGTACGAAGTGTTGCACCACGTAGTCCGTAACTCTTGTAATTGTTTTTCGCCTTATACTATCAATAAGTATTAATAAATACTTACAAATAGCGATTGGTGCTAATCTCCAAAACTGGTTTTAAATAATAGCTAAAATGCAATTATTGTACTTCTCATTATTTTTATTTATATTTACCAATTATTTATCCTACCTGAGGGAAGCAAATCGAAACTGTTCTATAAGTAGAAGAGATGAAATGCGAGATGTATACGAGTGTGGCCCATATTACCCCTAGTAAACAGTAATATTTCTCCCTGGTGTTTTATTTCAATTGACCCTTTTAGTTTAGATAACTGACGAAGTTTTATAGCACGTAATTGTTTTCAGTTTTATAGTTAATTAGAAAGGGTACCATAAATAAATTTATATAGCTGTCAAATTCAATTATGTACTTTTTGTGCTAATCATATACATAATAATTTCTAGTCCGGCATTGTCCAAGCTATGCATAATTTTAACCTTGTTTTTACTCATACTTCACAAACTTAAGTCAGTTATGTATATTTTTCATAGTACAATACATGTATGTACATATATATAATACTGTAGTGGAAAACGACTGCTCGTGTTTCTCTTTTCAAAGGCTTCTAATAAAACCATAAAGAACCAAATAAAACTCATTAATAATACTTTACATATAAAATACATATTACTTATCATTCTAAATGTATCATATTTATGTTGTTCGTTTGCCATTGCCTTTCTATAAAAATAAGCAGACAAATATATTTACAAATTAAAGACTCTCTTTCAATTCAAGTTATATTTCATTGTGTTATTATTGATTTTACTACCCCTACGATATTCGAATTGACCCATTATAATTGGCCACAGTGTAGACATCAATTGAGAACCGTATGCAGTTTTTAGTTATTATGAACATGTTATTATGTAATTTGTGAGCTTTAAGTTAAGATGCGCAATGCAAAAACCTGTAAAGATACTATTAAAAGAGTATAAAATTCAACTGAAAAAAGTTTATTAAAAGTTTAAAATTATTTTTATGCAATAAAATATTGTTGAAACTTAAAATCTTGTTTTTTTTTGTTATCGCATTCATTCTGAGATATATACATTTTGCAATTTGTGTGACCGACAAGTGAATGCCTCACTGAGATCTTCGACTTCCAAATGTATAAAAGCAAAGATGAAGAAATAGTATCGAAATGAATACAATTTATAGTTTATAAAAAAGCAAGTGTAATCTCTGACATTATCTTCAATCTGAAAATAAAGATACTTCCGTTTATGAAGAAATTCAAAAGAAACAGTCAAGAACGGAATCTTTTTGAAATGCAGGAGATGGACAGTTTTATTCTGGTTATACAGCCTTATTCTATATATTTTGTTTTTGCAAAATAGTCAGGCTTAATCCCAGTTTGTTGTTTTTATAAAAAACAACTATTTATTAGTGGGGAATGTATGGCATTGTCCGCCGAGGGGTAAGGCAGGGAAGACTATAGTTTCGGATCTCGCCACTGATCCTCATCAGTTCCCTTAGTTTTTTGTTGGGATATTCTCCCCAGAAGCTATTAATAGCTTCTTTACAAAAAACCTTTCAAACCCAAATGTCTCTTGTGACAATTCGAAGTTCTTACGTTACCAGCGATACGACCCCAATGATAAGTTCGTTTCGTTGGCGCCTGACTTCGTGGTCAACAAGGCATTTACAGACAACTACAATACATTTCCCACTGCTATGTGTCGTCACTTTGTGACGAATGGACATAACGTTGTTGTTGGTATTGCTAGTTAAAGCAATAAACCAAACAGTATGACCGTGCCTCGTCTACAACTTCAGTAGTGTTGGCGGGTTATTTGGGATACCATTTGTATTTTGTTTTTGCAAAATAGTCAGGCTTAATCCCAGTTTGTTGTTTTTATAAAAAACAACTATTTATTAGTGGGGAATGTATGGCATTGTCCGCCGAGGGGTAAGGCAGGGAAGACTATAGGCTGACTTCCAAAATGTATCAATGCAATGTTTGTATACAATAATACTACGGTATTTGAACTTCGTATACATGCAAAGATACTAAACATCGCAACTAGGAACTTTGCAAACATTTACAATATAAAATGAATGTGGTGCAATGTATCACTAACAAATCAGCTGTTTTATGAAATAAACAAATATACATTTATTTGTTACGCATATTAATATTTTTACTAAAATTACTTTTGTGAATCTGTCATTAACTTTTTTCTTTGGATATTTCATTTTGTGCTCATAAACATATAATGATGCCTGATTGCTTTTTAACTGCGTTGCAAATTCGTGGCAGCGACATTTTGAAATATAATGCAATGTAAATATTTGGTACTGTTGCATTATGAAACATGATGCTTTGTTCGACTGCAAAGCAATTAACATTTTGGAAGTCAGCCATAGTTTCGGATCTCGCCACTGATCCTCATCAGTTCCCTTAGTTTTTTGTTGGGATATTCTCCCCAGAAGCTATTAATAGCTTCTTTACAAAAAACCCTTCAAACCCAAATGTCTCTTGCGACAATTCGAAGTTCTTACGTTACCAGCGATACGACCCCAATGAGAAGTTCGTTTCGCTTCGATTAATAGCTTCTAGGGAAGATTATCCCAACAAAAAACTAAGGGAACTGATGAGGATCAGTGGCGAGATCCGAAACTATAGTCTTCCCTGCCTTACCCCTCGGCGGACAATGCCATACATTCCCCACTAATAAATAGTTGTTTTTTATAAAAAACAACAAACTGGGATTAAGCCTGACTATTTTGCAAAAACAAAATACAAATGGTATCCCAAATAACCCGCCAACACTACTGAAGTTGTAGACGAGGCACGGTCATACTGTTTGGTTTATTGGTTTAAATAGCAATACCAACAACAACGTTATGTGCATTCGTCACAAAGTGACGACACATAGCAGTGGGAAATGTATTGTAGTTGTCTGTAAATGCCTTGTTGACCACGAAGTCAGGCGCCAACGAAAACGAACTTCTCATTGGGGTCGTATCGCTGGTAACGTAAGAACTTCGAATTGTCACAAGAGACATTTGGGTTTGAAAGGTTTTTTGTAAAGAAGCTATTAATAGCTTCTGGGGAGAATATCCCAACAAAAAACTAAGGGAACTGATGAGGATCAGTGGCGAGATCCGAAACTATAGTCTTCCCTGCCTTACCCCTCGGCGGACAATGCCATACATTCCCCACTAATAAATAGTTGTTTTTTATAAAAACAACAAACTGGGATTAAGCCTGACTATTTTGCAAAAACAAAATACAAATGGTATCCCAAATAACCCGCCAACACTACTGAAGTATATTCTATATATATAATATTATGGAAAAATTACAGTAAAAACTGATTGAGAGAATATGATTTGATGTACAAAATGAAGAAGGGGCATATAATAAAATAATTTGCCACTTTAAGAATTTGGAAAGATAAACAGCCTTATTCTGGATGTCAATTCCACGTGAATTTACTCGCTCTTCCCCTTCGTCTTATTCTGAACAACATTTTTGTGTGAATTTTTTCGCATTCTCGCTTTCGCCTTATTCTGAATGAAGTTCGAAAGTGAAAAAATTCGCTTTGGGGAAAAATTATGTATTCTGGATTACAGGGAGTAGGAGAATGAGATGAAATTTTGTGCGAATTTTTTCGCTAATAAATTCAAAGTGAGTTGACTACAAAAACATAAGTAATAAATATTTTTATGAAAAATATTAACACAATACTTATTCTATGACGATTTAGAATATTATAAATGATAGTAAGCAAATATTTATCTGGAAAACAGCAAATAAAATGCCTTTGGAAATCCTATTGATAATGATTCATGCTGAACCAAATATTGCCAAGGAATGTATAAAGGTAATAATGAATATTTAAGTCGAGTTTGATGTATTTTGGAGGCGAAAAACAGACATTTTGGGTGAGGATCTGTATCTCAAGAAAAAAATTATAGAAAAACAAAATTTGCCTAATGAGCCGCTTAACAGTGAAAAACTTAAATAAAAATTATGAAAAAAAAATATTTTTTTTTTCAAAATTATCGTTTGCATTATTTGAAGGGAGAAATAAAGGAGTAGGAGCATAACAGGCCACTTTAAGAATTTGGAGAGATAAAATATCGAAATTAAATAAAAAGGCACAGAATTATGTGCCTGTGTTTTTCCCATCATAAAAAAATGTTCTTTTATTTGTAATCTATTGTAGTTGTTGTACCAAAATGCATCAAAACAATGAACAGCATTTTCACATGTCATATTGTAGGTTGCCATATTTTCAAACTTTAATTAATTTTCTTTTAATTACAAAGCATTTATAAAGCGGATTCTTGATATTTCACATTTATATTGTTATAAAGTTTAAACCACAATAACAAGTAACAATTTTTAATAAAATAATCAATAAATAAAATATTGAAATATATTACACAATTAAATTACAATGGGGCAACACACATTACAACTTAAATTACAATATGGCAACACACATTACAACTTAAATTATAATATGGCAACACGAATCTTTTTTTCAACCACCATTTTCGAAAACTCGAATCCGCATCTCGCATTTTTTGCGTCTCCCTATTCATTCAGAATAAGGCGAGAATGTAAAAGCGAAAATTTTTGTATGTGCGAGATATCTCCCAGCGAATATCCAGAATAAGGCTGAAAATATCGAAACGAAATA